CGGGGCAGTCCCGCACACACGCCCCGCCGTCCTCCGCTCCGTCCGCGGGGAGGGTCCGGCGCGGGGTCCCCGTGGAGGATGGGCAGCCCGAAGCGGGGAGGAGGGGAGAGGAAGGGGACCCCCGGCGGGGGGGTTGGTGACCAAAACTGCCCCGTCGCAGCCCAGTGGCCTCCAGCGAGAGGAGAGAGCAGTGCCCGGCTGCGAGGCAGAGCGGTGGGGCAGGCCCACTCCTGGAAAATGGAGCCGGAGCTGTGTTTTCCGAGTCTGTGCCGGTGTCTAGCGAAGGGACAGGACAGGAGCTTCCCCTGCCAGGGATGGCAATATGGAAGTCGAGTTGCACACCGATAAGGGTAGATCAATACAAATGTGTTAGTGGGGGAGAAGTTATCTGGTAAACATAATGGAGCCCGCAGCTGGGCGTGGGGGGAGCGGCTTTTCGCAGATGAGCTCCAAGATTTGGCTTTTCAGCTCGGAGGAAGCGACACAAAAGTAAACTGCCACTTAAGCAGGCTGTTTGGTTTCACTCTGGAAACCTTTGGCCCTCTAAATGGTGAAGGCCTCTCTAGATTTGTGCTGGACATGTGTTTTTGCTAATAATCTTACTTGCGAACAAGAAATGAGAATGTTGGCCCTTTCTTAAAATCAGAATAGAAAAAATAATTTCCCAGTGGAATAGGGGAAATCCTAAGTATTTAATCACAACACTTGTGAGTAAAGCTAAAGCTAGCCGGTATGTCATCATTTTGGAAGGAGGGTAGAGAAGTCCTGCAAAGTGCTTATGTAGCCACAAAAGAAGTCTTCAAAACACTGCAGAATGGGTCAGCTATAAAGCACATATTCCATAAAATAAATTGCCTCTGACACAAGAGGCAAGTTTACAGCAGCAGACAACTCGTGACTATTCATAGATGACACCACAGTAAATAAGCTATTTTTAGTATAAAAGGGGGAGGGCTACAGGTTCCTGAGTTTGTTTATTTTTTTTTAAGGAGCCAGTCTTTTAAGAAGTGATGAAGAAGAAAAAATTAGGCCTGTGCCAGATGTTGTAGCTCTCCTTGTTCTTTTAGGGGGGAGGGAGCAGGGGATGGCAGCCAGTAGTTAACAGCTTTCTAGACTGTATCTTCCTTCATGAAGTTTATCTTCTGTGCAGGGCTGACTCTTTGTGGTGGCTGGTAAGTCACATACTTTATGGTACTTCAGCAAAGCTTTCAAGCTCCTTGACAACTTGCTTTAGCTAGAGGTAGCTTTTCACATGTCTCAGGCAACTGAGATCACCTTCTTGAACAAGCATCTGAATCTGGTCATCATATTCTTGTTTTATTAAAGTTACTTTAAAGTATGGTAAACTGTTATCATAGCAGGCGGTGTATTTGTGAGGGTGAAACTGGTCGGGTTTTTTTACACTGTATCTCTCCTGCAGCCAGACTGTTGATCTCCTCATGCAAGAGTCAGGATGTCGTTTAGAACATCCTTCAGCTACCAAATTCCGCAATCATGTCATGGAAGGAGAATGGGATAAGGTAACGTAGGGCTTATAGGACTGTATTAACCACTGTTGAAATTTTTAGTATCTATGAGAGAATTCAAAATTCATCCTCCTTATATACTTTTTTTTTTCTTATGCCGATTTCTGCAGGCTGAGAACGACCTGAATGAACTTAAGGCCTTAGTGCATTCTCCGCATGCAATTGTGGTAAGAGGCACACTTGAACTCTTTCAGAGCTGTGTAGTTGGACTAATTCTAGTGGTGTAATCTTTCACTATGGAGTTGGTTGTCCATAGTTCTTGTTTTCTCTTTTTTGTTTACTTTAAGCTGCTTGCATGCTATCTCAAATGTTATACTAATCTGAACTTCTTTTATTCTGTTGTAGAATGTGAGATAGGCAGCCCAGAAGTATTGAGGCTAAGATTTGGTGTACTCAGTGTTAAAACTCTATTAAACATACCTAACTGATAAAATATAAATCCTGTCACAGTCCTAAAATAGGTCAGTTTCTGTAGAAACTGCCTATGTTGAATACTAATTTCAACCTTGAAATACTTCTCACAATCTCTGTGTTTATAGGAGTTAGGTTTTCTTGAGGGAAGAGAAGTTTAGAAATAAAATGGGCTAATACTAATGTGGAGTTGGTATTGTAATAGCACATTACAAGAATATAGAGGCTGCTATAGACCATGAACAATACTGTTGCTTTTCCAGATGGCTTTTAAAGAGAAAATGCATTTGTATTGCTGTTTGGGATTTTATTTAGAGCTTTTTCTCTTTGGGTGGCTTTTTTTTTTTTTAAAAAAAAATAAAAGAAGATAAACCTAGAAATAGAAGGTTAGTGGATCCTGTGACTTGACAACTACAATATGTGTTATGATTTCAGTTGCTCTGAGTAAAGTGTTTCTTGTTTTGATTTTTGGATCTCAAGATGAAAATCATCACTTGGCTCTTCAAAGAGCTTGTTCTGTTGTGTTTAAACGTTTATTTTAGTGAGATGAAGTTAGAAAAGCTATGGTCACTTAGGAGGCAAACAGTAGCAAGGCTTTTTGAAGTGTCTGTGACTGTAAACAATGAGGAATCAGCTGATGGCTGCTTAGTTCCACTTCTAGCTGATTCATTTGTTGTCAAGACAATTTCCTGTCTGATGGGGGAGGGAAAGAAAGAGAGAACAGGAAATGAAGTAGGAGAAACAGATGTTGAACAAAACATCAGAGGGTACTTGACAGAAGTTTACATTTGGTTCTGTTAATTTGGTCAAAGCTTAGCACCTCTTAATTAGACCATTAGTTCACTTTCTCTTTTGTCTAAGACCTGAAGGAGTTGAGAATATTGTATGCAGCTTTCGATAGTTTGTGCAGCCTGAAAGTGTGGATCTGCTATATGGGAATATGAATGGTCATTTGAAACAAATTTTCTCATGTTTCTGACTTCTGAAGTAACGAAGTTTGTCTGTAGTATTAAAGTGTTTTGCATGTCAGTGAGTCAAGAGGTTTAATTGAGTTATCAACATGGTACTTTTTTGAGAACTCAAATCAAGAGAAAAAGATGTTTTCCTTCTGTTGTTCTGAAGATCATTCTCTAATACTGATGTCTTAACTGGTTCCATAAAGCTTGGTGCAGTAAAGCTTGGTTCAGACTTCACCTGAACCATATGAATTATTTTCTTTTTGAAGTTGATCTCCTTTATATAAACTTGATATAATTTAAAACAGGTAACAATTTTGAAGGTCTTATATGTGTAAGACAACATTATTTGCAAGGATAAATTGAGCTTGTGTGTGTTCCATTGCATGCACAGAGTCTCCTCCTTGTCCCCTGTCTAGCTTTTGTGCACATGGTTGAGGTTCTGGGTGGGTATTAGTGCTGTCAGCAGCTGGAAAGGTAGAGAGAGATCATTACAGGTGAGGAGGGATGCTTTATCCTCTGTAGGTATTCCCCACTGCAGCAGTGTCAGAGCTAATGAAGGTGATAGATGTCTTGATCAGGAAGAGTCCAAACAAGGTGCTGCTGCAGGTAACTCTTTCAAAATAGAAAATTGGATTTTGAGTTGCCTGACTTGTGACTCACACTGTGACTAGATGTTTTAAAAATGTGTGCATACAAGAAGAATGAGTACCTAAAAAATTTAGATGACATAGACTATTTAACTAAGTAGGGTGTGTGTTTTGTGGTTTGTTTTTAGTTTGTGGTTTGGGTGGGTTTGTTGTTTTGTTTTTGGGGCTTTTTTTCCCTTACAGTTAGTATGACCTGGTCAAAATAACCAGGATACGTAGTTGCTTTTGAAATGTCTGGTCAGTGATGGGAGATGTATATGTATTTTAAAAATCCTACTCATGTTTAATTTCCTGATTTCTGCAAAGTGCTTTAAGTTCTACAGGTGAAAACACTAAATATGAAATGGCTGATGTGAATTTTTAAGACTTTGATGCAGTGTTGATATGGGGGGGAGGAGGGTGTGGCAGCACACAGGACAGTTTGCTATTTCTATTTGTGTCAACACAACTGAGTGCTGTACAGTATGTGATTAGTCATGTTTACTTTTCCAACATATAAGATATAGCTTAGACAATCTGTAGGAAAACTTTATAATTGAATCAAGCATGATGTTTTTCCTTGAGTTACAGTTAGAAAACACCAACTTCAAGCCAGCCTGAGGTTTTGCTTACTTTGGGGCTACTCAAGCATGTGATGGCATCTGTCTTGGGTACTTAATTGCACCTAGGAAGAAACTTGGAGATCATTCCTCTACAGTCATCTAGAAAGTATCTTCAAATTGCTGTCTTATTCCAGAGGTATACAGCCTGCAACAGGCAGTACAATCTAAAAACAGCATTAACTGTTATCATTTGAGTAAAGTGCTCCACCTGCCTGCATGGTGTCCCTCTTGCTACCAGCATTAAGGGCAGTTCCCTACTGGAGTTAATTACTCCCTGTGTGGCAGGACTTGGTATGGTTGAAGTGTCATTAAATTCCATGCTGAATTCTGTAGACCAGAATGTTTTCTGCCCTTTACATATCAGGGCATTTGAGCTTTGGTTTGTTTTTAAGGGCTTTCATCAGTGTTTTACAAAACTATCAAAGTAAAAGACTACAGGATAAAGAAAACTGAGGTCTTAGTTCTGTAGGCTGTAAGTTGATAGCTACTGTGTCAAGTTTGTTTTGAAACACTCGCTGATAATTTCACCATGTATTTTAGTTACCTATTTAATTTCAAAGAGCAGTTGTTTCAGCAATGTTTACTTATTTTGGACTCCTAGTTCATTAATAAAACTGTTGTGGAGCTTGTTTAGATACACAGGTTGACAATAACACTAAAATCTAGACATAAACTTAGATTATTTTGCATTTTGCTCATTAAACTTGTGAAGATTCACTGCTGGTTACAGTTACTGATCAGAATGGCCCAGTTTCTTGCCTGTGGCAGTATGTTTGTCCTGTTCCTTTCACAGTTCTGTTTACTGAGGTTTTCACCTTTGGTTATGTAGTGATGGTGAGTTATGGTACATGCCAGACTTTCTAAAATTTAGGATTCTGGAATGGGCTTTCCTAAGTTAGTACAAGGAAGGAGTACAGTACTAAGCATTCATGTTAGTAATTGAAGGCTGTAGTTTGAAGAAAGAAAAATGCTAATATTGTATACATTGAAACAAACAAACAAAACCCTGTAAATCTGTTAACTCTTAGTTTTGCCCCAGGGTAATCCGAGTTCAATTTACACCTAAATAATAGCTTGTAGAAACAACAAAGTAATGCACTTTATCCTCATCCTTGCTGTAGAGGTGAAAGACAGGATGAGGTAGTAATAACTGAACAAAACCAGCCAGACTGCAGTGCTGATGCTTGGATTGGACTTTTCCAGGGGTCCTTCAGGGTGAGGAATCTTGGCTATAAGCTAAGAAGTGGAGGTGTCTGAATTTTAAATTGTTCAGCAGTAATGAGTGTACTGATGTTGAATTTCCTTTGCAAATACTATGATAACAAATCCCAGGCACTTGTGTTACTTTGGTATGGTTTTGATCATGATCATTTTGATTTCCCTTTTTTGTAAGGCAGCTAAAAAATGTGGAGAAAGAATACGCTACTTAATCAGTGGAGTTTGTGCTTTTGCTTTACAGTTGTCAATATTACAAACAGTTCTCTTTCCTTCTAGAAGAGGTTGTCTGGACTATAAAAGAGGTGATGTACCCAAAATGGTCATAGATTTTGCAGAAGGTGGTGTTAGAAGAAATTAGAAGTACTTTTAGGATGGCATAGAGGAGTTGAGAGAAATCTGTTTTTCAGCAAGGTCACTAATTGCACAAAAATGGGAAGTAGGAGACAATGAGTGCCCCAACATTAAAAAATGACCTGCAATGTGATGCTACTGGAGTGTGACTCTTGCCTTAAGGAAGTTCATGCCATTGTTTGAGTATGCTGTAGGGCAAGTTTTGGAGCAGTTATCAAATAGCTTAGCAGTTCAATTCCATTTCCCCATCAAGACTTTAGTCCCTGCCCTCTGCTATTGAAAAGTTGCTATTTCAAGTTGCTTATCTCTTATTCTAATTCCCCATTAGGTTGCTGTATGAAATGTATTCTACTTGGTTTTTCTGAAGGCCTTTATATTCCTGATATGCCTACGTCACACATGGCACTGATGATGTCTTTTTTAAAACCGTACTTTCTTGCCTAGAACTGAAATTACACCTCTTTGGCAACAGCATTCTGAGTGGTAGTATTCCTGTAATGCTTTATGTAATTGCTGGGTCTGATATTATTAAACCCATGCTAGAGAGTTTTTCTGCTCCTTTTACTTCTTCCTCTAACAAAATGAAATTATTGTGCCAAGTCCTGAAAGTAAGGAGGGAGAAAAGGTAGGTTATCACATTTAATAGAAATATTTTATAACTTAAATAAATATTATATGCAGTGAATGGAGAAGTAAGTTAGGGAGGGATTACAGTTTTTATTATAGACTAGAAATATCAGGCTATTTTTTATCTGGTGATGATCATCAGTGTGAGGTGACCAAGAGCAGTGAAATACAGCATGTGCCTGCTACCAGGGCATCTCCATGTATCCTGGAGAGCATGTGCACAGCTGGTGGAGGAAGTTCCTGTCCCTCCTGCTGCTGGTATATAAGCAAACAGCGTGGGGTCTGCTGGCCTGCTGCATGGAGCCAACCACTGGGCTTGTAAATAATTGGGATATCTTTCATTTGGTTTTTCACATGTCAGAACATTGAAAAAAGTTGTCTCACCTGGAAGAACTGTACAGTAATGATCTAATAATTCCAAATTCAGATAAACTAAAGAGCTGGATTGGGAGTGCAGTACAGGTTTGCCTGTCAGATACAGGACAGCAGAGCACTACAGACAAATTTGAATATAAATCATCTTTACTATGTCATGTTTTATGCTTCACAAAGCTGTGTGGTAAGTTAATAGCACTATATGTGGAACCTTCATTCTTTTGAAGAACTGAGTGTCTCTGGAAATGAGAATGCTTTATGTTTTAACTTTGCATTTAACATCTAGTGAGCCTTAAACTTTCATGTGAGCTTTAATAGGACAGGAACATCTTAAACTTCCTGATTATCCCTCTACTTAAGGAGGCTGGCAGTGTGTTTGAAACTAAGTAAACATTGACCAAATATGAGCATGAAAATAGTGAGGTGCCTGAGGTCTGATGAAAGCAAAGGAAACTGGTGATTGAACTGGTGGTATATTCATTAGAAAAGCAAATCTAGTTTTCCACACTTTTATCTCCAGTCTGTGTCTCACCAGTTTGTCTAAGCATGTACATTTTCCCTATTTTCCTCTTCAACCTGGTGAGTTTTGTGGACTAAACCTGTCATTTCTGGCTGGTAACTGGTAGCAGTAAAGAATGTGTACAAACACGAGATACTTGGTTTCATCCAGAAACAACCAAAGTGTGTTTCTACTAAATTGGTATTAAAATTTCTAGGCCTTCAGGTTTTTTTAATATTGTAACTTAATGCCTAATTTACTTTTTTTTTTTTTTTACCCGCAGATATTTGTTTTTAGAATAGCAGGCTTGATTTTTTTTTTTAATGTAAACAACCAAAGACTGTATAAATGAGAGGAACACTATGAAATAACAGCACTTAATTCAGAGTGTTGAAGTGACTTCTAAATATAGGAAACTATTTTTTTCTGTAATCCCGAAAGCAACACCCAAGGAAAACAAGTTAACATGGAACTACAAAAAAAACCCCAAACCCCAGGCAGTGTGAGTTTGTTACTGTTATATATTATGCAGCTATGCAAACAATCCATGTCAACACCTGTGTAAGCAGTGTGAGAACTTGAGTTGTCCTGTTGTGTTGTGTGTTGTCATGCAGTCTTAAATATGTGAATAGCCGATTTGGGGCCCTTTTCTTGATAGAACATTTCACTGGAAAGCCTGTCTAATGCAGGGTTTGGAGGATGATGACTAAAGAGAGAGCAGGTGAAAATGGGACCACTTGCAGGGGGGGATCTGAGGAATGAGATAGGAACATACTTGGAGCCCCATCAGTCAGGGAGGAAATTCACAGATAGCTTAATTGCTGCAATGCTGTTGAAAAGCCAACAAAAGAAATTGAGTAATGAAACATAACTTAGAGCTGTGTTTCTGAAGGGCATAGTAGAATGGTTTCTACTGTTCTGTTTAGGCTCAAACGTTTTCTGAAACTTCAGTCAACCTTTTTCCCCTGACTGCTGCTTTCTGTCATGTCAGAGGATGAAGTTTTTGCTGCTGCAGCAGAAGTACCTGGAATACCTGGAGGATGGCAAGGTCCTGGAGGCACTTCAGGTTCTACGCTGTGAACTGACGCCTCTGAAATATAATACAGAACGCATTCATGTCCTCAGTGGGTAAGTGTTTGGGTTTTGAGAGCTCTTGCAGAGAGGTTTTTTTAAGGAATTCTGTAGCTTTTGATGGCTGATGTTGTGAGGACTCAAGCTACTGTCCTGATGAATAATAAGCTGTACTGAGATGTGATAAAATGCTGCATAAAGAATGCTGTTTAGTAGACAGTATTTTGTTTCAGATGCTTGGAAACAACCTGATGATGATTTACTTTAATACTAGTAGAATCCAAATTAATACATGTGTACATATCTACGGTCATTGATCTTGAGAATTATTAGCCATTATTACCTTATAATTTAAGTGAGTATAATCTGGTTTGTTCTTAGATGAAAAGACATTTCTACCCTCCTAAAATTGCTTGTGTTTTGTTTTCTTTTTGTATGGGCAGTTTGCAGACATTTGTTCAGAAGATATGATTGTGTGAAATAGTTCCTTGCCTTTTTCCCTATTGGTCTCAAGCTTAAGTTACCTGTTCATAGTTCATTAAAAATGTTATGGTCTGTATCATGCTTTAAAGTGAAAAGAATGATTCCAAAAAGACTTGGTCTGTTGGTGTATGTGCACTTTTGAAACAGGTACCTGATGTGTAGCCATGCAGAAGACTTGCGTGCAAAAGCAGAGTGGGAAGGGAAAGGAACAGCTTCCAGATCTAAACTTTTGGACAAACTCCAGAGTAAGATATTTTAGCGTTTAGAATTCTTCTCACCTCTATTAAATCCAGTATAATTTACACATCCCAGGGAATTGACTGTGTTTGCTGGTTGGTTGTTTTTTTGTATTTCTTGGTTCATGGGGATACCTTTAGGTGCCTTTACCCTTTGGTCTTCTGTACCTAACCTTTTTTTGTCTCTGATAAACTGCTTGTAATAAGACCTGTTACTTCTTAGCTCTGCTGCATGCAGTAGTGATAAACTTGATGATTAAACGTGTGGTTTAGGGAGGGGTGGGTGTGTGTTATAAATGCCAGCCACAGTGAGTGGTGGAAACTAAGTGTGGCCTATAACCAGTGGTGATACTGGTACTGGTTGATAGTGGTCTCACACTTTGCTCTGAATTATGGTTTCTCCTCTCTCTTGTGGCTGTGGTAATACTCTGTACCAGAATTTTAAAACCCATGGTATTCTTTCTTTTCATCGTCCTAATAGAGAATTCCTTAAAGGAACATAGCTGATACTGATGTTCTACAGCATTATAGATTTTGTTAAATACTGAGTTTTGAGTTAGCTTGTGTAAATGGTGCTTGTTGGCCAGGACAACATACTCTATAACAACAAATACTTTGCATACAGCCCTGATTTCCAGAAGTTCATGCTTCTAATTCCAGGTGTATAGCAGTAAATTCAACAAGCTGTATGCTGTTACTTACTAAGATTTCTTCCAAAACCACTCAAATCAAAGTGTGGTCTTACTTGTAACTTTCTTCTGATAAGTCTTTCTTCATTTGTTTGTTTTTTCTTCCTAACTCCTCTGAAGCCTACCTACCCCCATCAGTGATGCTTCCTCCGAGGCGTTTACAGAACCTGCTCCGCCAGGCTGTGGAACTCCAACGGGACCGGTGCCTATATCACAACACCAAACTAGACAGCAATCTAGATTCTGTCTCGCTGCTAATAGATCACGTTTGTAGTAGGTAAGACACTGTCCTGACTTCTGAGGTGGGCAGTCTTTTCTTGGTCTTTTAAAAGAATCTGATTGTTAGCAGAAACGTGAAAACTGTTCTATGCTGGTTTAATGGGATTTTACTGGGAAAAAGCAGTTCTCGCTAAATGAGCAATGGAGGTGGGGAGTAAAGAAGGTGTGCAGAGAGGAGATTTTGGTAGCTGGATGTGGGGTAATGGGATCAGACTGAAGCTTAAAAATTTTAATCAGATTGGTGTAAAAACAAGATACCGTAATGCTAATCTATAGCCACTTGTTTTTTGTCATTTTGGACAGCCAGTGTCTTTATTCCTCAGCACAGGATTGCTGTGTTTTTTCACTGGAGAATCAGTGGTGTGTTGCTTATCCAGACTGGGTCTTCTAGGTTACTTGAATGCAGAAAGCCTGCTGAAGCATGCTTCTATGAACTCAACTTTCACCTGTAACTTTTAAGAGTGGACACAGGTGCTTTTAGACACAAAGGTTAAAACAGAAGAGAAATGTGCGGTTTATTTTTCTGAGTTATATAATATATAACATGAATAATATAAAGAATTATTTTTCTTACATTTGTAAGGTAGTAAGAATTGAGTGCCTCTTATACCTTTGTATTGGCTCTTTAGACTGCCTGGATAACATTTTTTTGGTGGCAAAATGGAGGCTGCTTCTGAATCTTCAAAATGCAGTACTCTAGACATGAAACAGGAAGATGTTTGTTTTTAATGAATGGCTGACTTGAGCAGTTTTTCCTCGTGCAGCAAAACTTGGCTAAGGACCTAAAAACTCAGTGTAGGTTTTATGGAAAACTTCTGGGCTGTGCATGGTGGATTAAGGGAATAAGGGCTAGAACATAAGGGCTGTATGGGATATCCTTATATGTTTATCCATGTAGCAGGCTAACACTTGGGCTTGCAGGGGAATCGCTTTCAGTTAAGGTTAGCTCATCTGAGGAAGTTCATTAAGGACTGATAAACTTGCTTACAGAGATTTTCTGAACTCAGCTGCTTTCACTTGCATTCTTGGGTTACTTGGAATCAGTTTTTAAAGATGCAGACTTCTGTAGTACTTTGCTGTAGCCATCTTAAGGTTTGAAAATTACTGTCTTTTGCACTTCATGTATTCAAGTGGCCTTTAGCTTACAGTTTTGCTGCACTGCATTGTTTCAGCTGGTGTGTGTGTGCAGACATTTGAATGTTGCCCATTTTAAGAGCTGTTGGAAATGATCATATAGTGGTATTGTGGCTTCCCTCCTTCAGAAGTGAGTCTTAAAATCAGACTACCTAAGAGAGATTTAACATTTAAGTAAGTCCATGAGTAGTTTTGGATGTTGTGCAACAGGTTTGATATTACTAATCAAATTCCAGGGAGTATTCGAGATCACTGTGAAGAGCTTAATTTACTGAAGCTGGGCTACAAAGAGCCAGGTAGAAAAGATATTACATGCAACAAACCTGGGTTTGAATTCCCCCCATCTAAATCTATTTGCTGACATAAAAGTTTGACCATAGTTTGGGTTTTTGGTTTGTTGATTCCTTTTTTTCAACTAAAGTAGTGCTTCCTAAATTTGCTTATTTGCTGCGTGTATACGTACATAGATACTCATAGCTACTGTAATTTAAAAACCCCTAACAACAAGAACCCCAGGAAATGTACCCAAAAACCCACTTGAAAAAAAAGGCTTCCGTTCTGTCCTCATCCTGTTGTAGCTGCCTGTTGGAAGGGTCTGAGTCCAGTTTGTGGTGTGCTGTTCGTGCTGCCATGCTTGGACATAGTGAGGGGAGTTAGACAGTGGAAGCCAAATTTTGACAAAGGTGACAGAAGTAACAGTAGTCAAATAGCTTAAACAGTTCAAGTCCTGTGCTACTTAATTGATGGAACACCAATAAGTTTCTCCTTTTTAGATGGAACTAATCCCTTTTGGACTTAAGGCACTATTTTGGTTAAGCATGCTTGAATTGCATTAATGGGCAAAATGTATAACTACAAAACTCACTTGATACGAGTGGGAGATGCAAGTGAGGCACTACTGGGAGTAAAGGTGCAGGATTTCATCTTATTGTGACAGAGATTTTGACAGTAGAGAATTGATGCTCTTGGGGATGATGATTTTTGGTTTTGAGAGCCTTTGGCCTAGTTGGGTGTGTTGGGATTTTTTGGTGCAGTGTTTCTGTTCATTTGCTTTTTTGATTTTCTTTGTTTAGGAATAAATCTTGCATTGTATGTACAGGGAATAAAAAGGTTGTTATTTAGTGTTTTTTTTTCTAGAATTTTGAACTTGTGTAAATACAACAACAGGAAATTTTATTAGATGCTTTATCTCAGTAAGTGAATGACATAAATCGGGTATTTTGTACTGAACAGAACAATCTGTAATGAAACACTTCATAAAAGGTGGAGAAAAACCTTTGAGCTTCAGTAATATCTAATTACCAAAGCTAGAAGCTGTTGAGACAACTGGTTCTGGTTTCTTGTTTCAAGATTGCTGCTATTTCCTTCCACAGCCAGGTTATTTAATGTGGTTTTGCTGTCTGTGAAGTCAAACTTGCTGAGTTCTGTTTCACTAATTAAGTGAAGAGGACTTTTTGTGGGAGCACTCTGATCCAGCTGGGTTGTGAGCAGCGTAATTCAGTATTGGGATGTCTCTGCAGCAGCTATAATAACTCTGTCACCCCTTTTAGGAACCAAAAGGTATCTTACTATGAAAACTGTGTGCTCCAGCATTATCCAGCTTGTTTTTCATGTCTACAGAACCTTGGCTGCTTTTCTTAAGCTTTAAGATGGAAGAGCTATTGTTCCATAGAGTATTATTTTGAAATGAAATGTGCTGAAAAGACTTTCCTGGGACACAGCATGCCCCTTGTATGGTGTGAGTTATGGTTGCAGCCTCACCTCCTGGGGCAAGTTGCTGCTTTGAGCAAAACCATTAATTTATAAAAATATGGCTAAATAACAATGAAACACTGCTCCTGTAGGTGGCACATCTCTGTATAAGGGCTTGCCTGCTTCCCTCTAGACGTGAAGGAAAACAAAGTCTTTTTTTCATGGGTGGGGCTTTTTACCTTGGGTTTAGTGTTCTTCCAGGGGCAACTAGGCAGTTCCTGGTCAGCTGAAAGCAGGAGGAGAACACACTTGTGTTTCTCTATAAACAAGTAAGTATAGACATAACCAAGGAAGCCAAATATATATATATATATATATATGTACATTTTATCATTTTCTACCATAAGACAGGAAATGAGACTGTATGGTTGTTCAGTGCTGCTTGATACTCTTTAAGCACAGACTAGGAAACCTCTTCTAATAAAATAAAATGGACTGAGAGGGTACAGACACTATGTGAAGCAGAACTTTCTCTAGCTTCAGGGAAGAAGTGGTTTTTTAGGTGTCTGTCAGCCTGGCTGCCACCAAACTGTATTTGTAAACAGAAATGTGAAGGAAGTAAGTTTTCTGCTTAAATTAATGGGGGGGTTGTTTGACTTTTTTAATTTTTATTTTATTTCCTTTGGTGGGTGTGTTGTGATGTGTTTCTGCTGTTTGTTGGTTGTTGTTTTTTTTTCAGCCAGTTTATCCCCAGTAATAAACAAAACTGTACATTCAAGGGCACTGTCATTCCCTTAGTACCACTATGTCCTGTCAGAGTTGTGTTGCCCTGAGTGCTGTAAAAACTCAGCCTAAGACTAAACCACTTTGGGATCTCTGCAGTTGAAGAAAAAGTGGCTGGTTAGAAACTGTCTTTTAGTGCATCTGAACAATGAACTTGTAGTATTCGTCAGTATACAGTATATACAGTGTACTAGGAAGTAATACTTGCAGTATTACTTTGAAAAGCAGACATCTGCTGTAAAAGCCTACATTTCTTTTATCTCAGCTCTGAAATTCTTATTTGAGAGCTTGTAGGCAAGATTTAAATCAAATAAAACTTGTCTCCAGTTCTCACCTAACTCAATAATTTCACTGTTAGCTTTTTTTTTGCTTTGTAACTAGAATATTAAATATTGGCTCTAGAGGAATGTTTGAATCTTCTTCAGTAGTTTATCATGTAATATTTTATTTGATAAACTCAGCATTTTACAAAATAGTTTAGATTTTGTGAGGGAGAACTGTTCAAGTTGAAAGCTCAATGGCGTCTTGCTAGTTATGCTTAGATGTTGTATGTGGTACTCTGCAAAGCTGAAAAATGATAAAACAAAGGCAAAGAAACATCTAATTTATTGCAAGGTCACATTTGGGAAAAGGAACTTTTATGTAAGAAAAATTTCTTAGCAAGATACAGCTAAGTGAGTTAGCTACAAAAACCTCAGAAGTAAAAACATTGCACCTATGATTCAGAGACCTGTTCTATAGTATTTTTCTGTACAGTAGAAAATTATATGGTAATAAACTGCTGTATTCCTGATGAGGTCAGTTTAATTCCAAGTTACATGAAAGTGTAACAAATTATGTGAGTGAAATAAGAACAGTTCTATGTTCTTATGGTTAATTATGATGACTTGATGGTGTGAGCTTGTTGCCAGATAAGACGCTTCATTCTGTACTTGCTTGAAGCAGCTGTTAATAGAGGGGTTTTCTAAGTTTTCTGGTCTTGTATTTAAATAAGGTTTTTGTTTGATTGGGTTTTTTTGATAGTTTGACTTTGAAAAGAATTGTACTGCTTTCTTATTAATCTGTGAATGCACCCCTTTGTTTTCCCAGGAAACAGTTCCCATGCTATACCCAACAGATCCTAACGGAGCACTGTAATGAAGTGTGGTTCTGTAAATTCTCCAACGACGGCACTAAATTAGCAACAGGATCTAAGGACACAACTGTTATTATATGGCAGGTTGATCCAGTAAGTGTGAAAATGTGTCTTGACTTGTCTTTCACTTCCCTCTCTGCTTTCTCCTGATAGGATGGTGTGATTCTTGTAGGACAGGCTGAATGGACCGCAGCCCTGTTACATCCCATTCCCTGGGATGTAAAAGTCTTGTAAATAGCATAGCTGTAGGATACTTCATACATGTTTCCTCTACAAATCTGTTGGTGTATAAATAAAAAGGTTGATTGAATCTAAGTCTGCTTCGGCTTGTAGAAGGGATTATGAAAGTATATCCATATATTTCATAATTATTGAAGACTGGGAGTAAACTTGAATGTATACACACAAAATTTGAAGTTCCAGAAATAAGATCCTTTTGATTTTTTAACCATACAGGTGCTGTCTGGTATGGGAGGTGGAAAATGAAAGGTTTCTGCAGTTCCATACTGGTGTTCAGTAGGATTTGAAAGCTGAGTTTCTTTTCTTTCACTTCAGGTTAGGGAGCCATATAATATGAGTCCTTTTTTCTATTAAAATGATGGGAGGACTTTAAAACCCTGTTCCGTGTGCGTAATGGTTACGTAGCCCCAGAACTAAGACTGCTGTGATTTTTGTCTTGTCTTACTGGGGCAAGTGTGCTCTGGGCCAAGAGCTGCAGAGCTGACTTCTGTTATTTAGTGTGGAAATTATCTGTATTTTGTTTGTTGCTTTTGGTTTTAACAAAGTAATTAAGATGAATTAAGGATCAAAATGTTTTTTGCTGTCAACTTGTCACTTGACTGTAGATGCATATCTTCCTTCTATATTGATGTGTTTTAATACAAGACATCTTGATTAGCACATCTTAATGTGAATTGTTAGCTAATAGTTGCTTAGTAAAGCCACATAAATGTTTTGTGAGTTTTAGACTAAGCCTTTTGACCAAGGGTTGCTAAAGAATAAAAATCTCTAAAAAAATAGTGGAAAAGTGGTTTTGTAGAGTTTTATTGGTTTGTCTGCTTTTTTGAGTGCTTTAAAAAAAATTGAAATCCTGTCACGCAGGTGGTTACTTAAATAGCATTAGGCCACATCAAGTAATTCATTTTCATATTTGCCAGAAGATGCTTCTCACATTTCTTGTAGCAGTTGGCCATGTCTTTTGACCCATAAATTTAATCTGATTTTCAAGGCTTTTGGTATACAGAATTATTCTAATCTGTTTAGATGAACTCCATGGAAACAAATAACTAGCAAGGTCTAGGCAAGTGATGGGAGAGCCCTGTTTTAAATGAACAGTTTTTGATTTTTCCACACACGCTTCACATGTGTGAGAATTCTTCATTTCTCCCTTTTTTTCTTCATCACCCCCCTTGAAGTGTAAGGACACTGCTGCAATGTGTATTTGTAATTTCATACCTTAAATTTTTTATTCTTTTCTAAGACCCAGCCACATGTCTAGACTGTCTTAACCTATGCTTCTGCTGTCATTTTCGTATGCTAATTTCAAAGTTCTAATGCAGACTCAGCAGCATTAAATAGTGTCTTGAGTTGACTAGATTTGTGTGGGATGCATTATTTGACTGTCAGAGCTACTTCAGGCTTGAGATGATGCCTGAATAGTTGCTTGTCATACACAAAAATTTGGAAAGCTGTATGTAAGGGATAGAAGTGCTGAGATTTCTTTTGCTGGTGGGTGGGAGGCAGGTTGTCTACATTTGGGGATGTTTGCCTGAAATACCACTGACTGCTGTTTTAGAGCATGGTATAGCAGCTTTATGGTATTTGGAGGGAAGCATGAGAGCAGTATGGAGGATAGTAATAAGCCACAGAGCACTATCATTAGAAGAGGAATATCTTATGATCTTGATCCTCATGAGTTTCAAACACGCTGAAGTGACAGGCTTCTTTAATCCTGTTTTAAAAAGAAATATATCTGTTCCAGACAAGCTGCAGGATGTGAGATGATGTCAGACATGACTCAGTTTCCTTGAAAATCACTTTAGCTATAGACACAGCAGTGTCTAATGCAGTCCAGGGATAATAAGAATGGAAAAGGGGTCTTGAGGGAGGTCCAATCATTTGCCTGTCTTCCTCTGCACACTGAAGATTATTCTTAGCTCACTTTCTTTTGGGGAACTTACTTTTTCTAGCCATCAGAACCCCCAGTGCTGCAGGCTGGCTGAGAGTCACCAAATCCCTCACAGCTGATCCCAGGAAACAATCCTTCATGTCGCTCTTCCTCTGGTCTTTGTTTTTAGAATTAAGAAGTGCTCTGTTGATTAATACTGAAAAAAAAAAATAAAAAGGAGAGAGAAGGGACAATTAGAGAAATCAAGCTAGATTTTCAAATTAGTCATCCTTTTTGAAAAGAAGTTGAAGATATAAGCATCTGCCATGCATGGAAAAAAATGGGTAGAGTGGGTAGAGGGAGCACAATTTGATTGCCCTTTCCAAGAAGCTTCAAAATAATCATTGTCAACTTTTTAACAAGCTCTGTTCTACTTGTGTATATGTATGCTGTTACCAAGAATCAGTGCTAATACTGTACTGAAGCATGTTTCTGTATTTAGGAAGCCAGTGTGTGGTTGTTTCACAGTATCTAGCTGTACTATTTATTTTTACAAGTTTCTTGAAAAGTCAAGTTCCTCCGACGAGGCAGCAGTAAAACAGTTGTAATTTAGAGATGATATAAGATGCTGCATGTGCCAAGTATGCTTCATTCACTAAATCTGGCAGAAAACAGCTTGCTGTAGGCAACACTTCTGAAATAAGAACACCTCTCAAGGAAGTTTTTAAAAATATCTTTCTGTAAATCTCCTTCCTTGAGCAGCACACACACAACTTTATAAAAATATAGGCACTTCAGGCTTTTTCCTTGAGCTGTGAAGGTTTTAGTTCTCTATTTAACCATAACAGGTTTCCAACATGTCTTTACTTTTAAGAAAGTAACCTAATTCTGTAAAATATAGGTAATGGTGCTTTCATATTCTAGTAGAAGTAGAAAGACTTGACACTACAGAAATCTGCACTAAGTGTAATGTAATGTAAAACTTTGTACACAGTGGTATTTCTTGACTTTTGTTCAGAATCACAGAAGATTAGAACAAAAATACCTATGAGTGTTCTTGTTTTGAAGGTTGAAAGTTAGGCACTTTCATTTTCTGGCCCTGTAAACCGGCAAACCTGTCATGCTGTAGATGGATGCTGTGGAAATGTGAAATGTGGTGGGAGTTGATTTGCATTGTCTCAAGAGCACCTCTCTTTTTCCAGGACACTCACCAGCTAAAACTACTTAAGACGTTAGAAGGTCACGCGTACGGGGTCTCCTACATTGCCTGGAGTCCAGATGACAACTACCTTGTTGCCTGTGGCCCAGATGATTGTTCTGAGCTTTGGCTCTGGAATGTACAAGTAAGTGGTGGCGAAGAGTGAAAAAGAAAACTTGGTGGTCAGCCTGCTGCTTTTGTTTCAATCGCTAAATACTACAGGTGTGAAAGAAGTAATTGCTGCAAACTCGTGCCAAGGTGGGGATGTAAAGAAGAGCTGCTGCTCTCTGTCCTCCTCTCAGCTGGAAAAAATAATTATGGCGGCCTGCAAATGCTCTTTTACTTCAGAAAAAACTGAAACTGGAGTTCAAATTTTAAGTGTGTGGGATTGTGCAGCAGTTCTGGTGTGTGTGGTTACTATGATTTCTGAGAAGAGATGGCGTAAGTGCATAGGATGTCAGAGAGCTCCTGAGGAGAAGGACAGCAAATGAATCAAGAGAAGTAGAGGGCAGAATTATAATTGAAGGGAAGCAGTTGCTCACTGATGATTTTAACAAGTAGCAAATGTAAAATATGCAAACTATTTTACTTCATGTAACCCTCCCAGTGATGTTAGTGAAAGATGCTTCAATTTATGATTTCAGAACTTCATCTTTCTGTCAGGCACTTGGGCATTTTTCCATTCCCTCTATGAATCTGAAAATCACTTTCTGCTGTTGAATTTTATGGGCACTTGATTTGATACAAAAGCTTCCTTTGCCTCAGTTGAGAGCTGTGTAGACTTCCTTGTGCTGTCTTGGACTCTGAACTAATTTAGTTTTCTAAAACAAAAACGTTCCCTTTCTTCACCCTTGGAACACTTTTCTTCTGTTTAATTGACTAAATTGGCTCAGTGAAGAGCATTACTGACAGTGCCACTCATTGGTGTTCTGTCTTGTGAAACGGTGGCTTTATACGCTAGGCATGAAAGCTAAATCTTGGCATGGAGAACTTCAGCTCAAGGAGGAAAACATTCTAACTATTGCAATATTCCTAATTTCTTACTAAAATGTATTTCATCACCTCTTTTCTTCTAATCTCTCCCTGCCTCCTTTCAGTGTTTTGGTTTCTTTTCATTTGATAGTGCTTGTCACTCTCTTGGCTTGCTCATGTAATTTCTTTTTATTCCACTCCTTACTCAAAATCTTTTAGCTGTCTGACACATCAACTATTCCATGTCTCTTGATTTGAGAGACAAAAGAAATTGTCCCAAATCAAGTCCAGATTCACTGTATATGCTAAAGTAGTTCTGCTTTTCCATTGCATAGTTCATAAGTATGTGTTGCTTTTTAATAAACTTGTTGAAACATATACACTTCCAAACACTATTCATGTCAGATAAAATTACCAGTGCCTTTCTGGGTAAGGCTTGTGGTATAAGGCCCTGCTGCCTTTGTTTATTTTCCAGACTGGGGAGCTGAGGACAAAGATGAGCCAGTCTCATGAAGACAGTTTAACAAGCGTGGCCTGGAATCCTGATGGGAAGCGTTTTGTAACGGGAGGACAGCGTGGACAGTTCTATCAGTGTGTAAGTTCTCTGCATTTGTCCCTTTGAAAGTAAAGCAAGAAATCAAAGTTTGGTCTATGCTTTTTCAAGTTTTGTGTGTATGTACACTAAAGCTTCTGGTCCTTTTTAATTCAAAGAAGCAATACATTAATGCAGGTATTTCAGCAGCACTTTGGATGGAGCAGTTTGAAGGGTTGGAGCATCTTTGGTCAGCCTAAGGGAGGATTTGTGGTCTGGAATTTTTTTTCTTAGCTGCTTCAGAAAAAAAGAACTAATAAAAAGCAGTACCTTTGTCCACAAGTGTTTTTATTCCACAGTGTTTTGACTGCATCTTTTTTAGTTTTTGCATGCTGTTTTTTCTTAGTTGAAACAGAAATGTGAAACCCTCATTACTTGACTAGTGTTGCTTTGGGGTGGTGGTCCACAGTTTCACCATATTCTTGATTATTTTTCCAACTGGTTCCCAGAATAGTCATGTAGTATGCAGACCTCACTGTGAAGGTCAGCTCAGTGATGGGGTGCAGGTGGCATGTGTCTTGCACAAGAAAATAAGTGACAGAAGCACCCTGCTCTCCAGGGCAGATTCCTAAAAGCCCTTGGTTAAGACAACTAACTCCTAATTCATTAAGCCCTCCATTGTAAAGGGTAAGACTGCTTTCTGTAGCAATCGTCTGAAATAGAAAGTGAAAAATACTTCTTTTTTCTGAGTCACAGCTCCTCAGAAACCTGAGACTAACTGTTGAATGCTTTTTTTTTCCTTCTGCTCAGGATTTAGATGGTAATCTCCTCGACTCCTGGGAAGGGGTGAGAGTACAATGCCTTTGGTGCTTGAGTGATGGGAAAACTGTTCTAGCATCAGACACACACCAGCGAATTCGGGGTTATAACTTCGAGGATCTCACAGACAGGAACATGTAACTACCTCTTCTTTTGGTTTTGAGTTCCTGCTTCTTAGTGTCAGAAGAAAACTGAGGAAGGGTGTGGGGGACAGTATGGGAAATGAGTTATTAAATGTTCTCAGTATTAAAAGATGAGACAAGAATTAGTGAGCAAGTTTCAGCAAGAAGCATTAGATCAGGTATTAGAAATAATTTCCTAAGCACTGGAGTAGGTTTTTGGTGGATGTTTTGGCATTTCTATCATAAGTACTTGTAGTCCTCTCAATTCTTGGTATATTTTAGTATATTCTGCCTTGAATTTAGGAGTTGAGGTCCAAAGCCCCTTTTGGCCAAACCCAGAGTCTGGGTGTTTAGCCTATAAACTTTTAACTATAAACAAGTATTGTAGAACTGGCTTGTATTGATGTATAGAGTCATACCTAATTTCAGATTTGGAACTATTTTTCCCTGATAATACTGCAAAGACAGGATGTTGTTTGCATCATTATCTGGTTATCTTGACTCTCATGTCTTACAATTTCAGAGTACAAGAGGATCACCCTATTATGTCGTTTACTATTTCAAAAAATGGCCGTTTAGCTTTGTTAAATGTAGCAACTCAGGTGAGTTGGGGATGTTGAAAGGAAATAGAAATAAATCTGCTTGCAACTTCTGCCTGTTTATAAATATTTTTATGTGAGATGGAATGTTTGATATTAACTAGTTGTATAATATTAACTAGTTGTATATTGTGTAATATGAAGGCCTTAATGTTCATAAATATAGCATGGAATTCTCTGACAAGAAGGTGATCTTATTCTTGAGACCTGATTTTTTTTTTTTTTTTTGACTAATTTATAGCCAAAAGTTTCATATTAGGAAATATGTGCTGTTAAATTTAATTATCTGACTGTTGCATTGAGAAGCCAGGTACAGCAAGAACTGTGGCACTTTACATGTCTGGGGGCATGGATTTTATTTATCTATTTTTGCTTTTGAAACCTTGGGAAAGACTAAAGCTTTCAGAGTGGAAGGGACCTAAGGGTGAAAGTTTAATTTTACATCTTAACTCTTTTCACCTACTAACAGTACCAAAGTTGACTCTAAAGTAGTGCACTTCCATGTGTAATTTTTTTTTTCATTGTTCAGAAGACTGCCGTTAATAATATTCAATGATAAAATAACGTTCTTTATATTTCTTGTTTCCAGGGAGTTCACTTATGGGACTTACAAGACAGAGTTTTAGTGAGAAAGTATCAAGGTGTTACACAAGGATTTTACACAATTCACTCGTGTTTTGGAGGTCATAATGAAGATTTCATTGCGAGTGGCAGTGAAGGTAACACCATTCTTTGTGCAGAAAACTGAAACACTGTATCCTTCCTATACCTTCATCTTATAGATGACAGTTGCTAACAACAACATTATAAAAGCAAACCAACTGGCTCATGAAATAAATTTGAGGCATGCTGAGATTGTGGCATACTTCAAGAAGTAATTGTGGGCTGGCAGAAAGAATCTTCTGAGAGGATGGCAGAGGTAGAACATATTAATGACTCTTTTGTGTTCCTCCTCTAAAGCAAAAGCATCTGCACAGTTTTAATTAGAAGTGGGTGGGGTGTTCTTGAGGACTTTTCTTTTTGTAGTATGATATTTAGACTTCTGGTTTGAATAAAATGTACTTCTGGGGAATAATAGCTTCATTTGCCTGTTGAAGATACAGGTGTGGTGAGGTTATTTTAATTTCAGTAGAATCATTTTAATTACAGACAGAGTAGCCTCAAATTAGGCAGCTGTTGACGTAATCTGGTAGAGTTTCTTGGTGATTAAAAGCTTTGTGGTATGTTCTTGTTCAGCTGTCTGTGGCAAGAGTATAAATTTATTAAAAGCTTATGTGTTGAATTGTTTCAGTTCTGTCACTGGTGTAGTGCCATCACCTGCCGTGGAGGTCACTGAAAATTCAAGCTTATGCAGGGCTAAGAATTACACTTGTCATATGTAAACAAATTATTGTGAGTACTGTGTTCCCACAGTTCTTGGGAAACAAGATTGGCCAAGGCATTTCCTGCTATCTGTTTTTGAGAACCACAAAACATGTCTAAAATAGAACCAAGTTTTACCCTCTGACTCTACCCAGTGGAATATGACTGAAGGACAGCACCTCCAGCCCTCCAGTCCAGTGTGGACCTCTTTTCATGGCTGGACAGGCTTCTTGGTTTGAGACCTGAGTGCCAGAAAGTTCAGGATTTGTTTAGCCATAACTATGTGCATGTGTAGGTGTAGATACTGTAGTGCACCAGTCTTTTTTTTCACCCCAGTTTATTGACTTTCTATTATCCTCATTGTTTAAAAACCACTGTAGTTGAAACTGATGGTTCCTTTGATTTGAACTGTCTGAAGCTGTTGCCATTTGCAAATGTGGCTACTGAAACTATTTTTAAAATACAAGCAAACAATATTAATAGGTCACATTCTCATAGCTGGCTTTAAAAAGTAGTTGATCACATTGTCATAACTTCATTGTCAAAACATCTTGTCAGCTGGGTAGGGGTTTTCCTGACAATTGCACCCATAGGAAGAAAATAGAGGTCTCTGTCTCAGAGGGGATTTGACTGCTGCCTTATCTTGTTTTTTCCAAACCAAAGTACTGCTTTGTCTTTAGGCTTTGGTTATCTGGCAGAGCAGAGGCTTGTGTGTGTAGTGTGTGAATTGTGTTGTTTGGTGAATAGTATGGATGTGTGGTCCCCTTGAAATCCTAAGTGGAATGAAGTACAACCAGAACGTTTGCATCAACACAAGCACATGTGAAGGTGGTACCCTCACACAAGCTGGCTCAGCACAAGGCAAGGGAGTTACCACATGGGAAAAAGCCATGAGGCTTTTCTAGCAGGGAGGTCAGAGAGCAAGTTTGTTTTATAGGGGGCTGGGAGGAGGAATAGAGGAAGATTGGTTTGTTTGCTGAGCCTTCAGAGTGACATCTAGGTGAAAGCCTTTCAGATGGATCAAAATACTTTCATATGATTGCTTGAAATTAGGCTTTTGTGTAATACTAGCAATACATACTTGTCCAGTTTATGTAGCTCTGTTTGGAATATTCCACAGTCATTCCTAGACAGGTGAAACCACAGACTTGTTACAGGCTGCTGGTCTACAGCTGGGACAACCCTCCACCTCTTCTTCCCACTCCCCAGTTATTCTTATATATGGCTGGTTATAAAGGATGACTTCTCTAAATGTTGCAGTAGAGTGTCTAACCATTTCCCTATTCTATTTCTATCATGTTGCTAGAAGTAATTAAAAGCTTCCCAGCACAAAATAGGATGTGTAGGGTTTCTTTGCATCTACTTTAATATGTACAAATTGATATCTTCAAATACCACACAATAACTGGTTGTCAAAGACAGTAATAGCTCACAATTTGAGCCATTAAGCTTTGCTCTCCCTCGTTTGCTCTGTTTGCAGTTTCACTGGAGTGTTACAGGTTTTAAGATGTTTTTCATAAACTACAGAGCTGTGATCTTATCTGGTACTCATCAACAAGAGGTGGTTATAATTATTCTTAGTATTCATGACTTTATAGTACATTTACTAATTTGCAAATACAATTATTTGAGGGGGGGAAATCTGCAAGTTTTCCATTAGAATAAGATTATAACTCCGTACCTGTAATTAAAGAGTAGTTTAATTTCTCTTTTTTGCCTTGTATTGTCTTATTTGCATGGCAGTCAAATGTTTTTCTTCAAACACCAAGTGTAGTAGACTTGCAGGTGTTAAAAAAGAGCGTGTCTCTTAATGGAAGAGCTTTGCCTGCGTTCTTTTGATCACTTTTAAAAGAAAAATTTTGTCAGCGCTGTTCCACGCTCGAGACTTGGGTTTTTGACATGGGCTTTAATGAGAGCTGGTGTGAAAGTGCAGTTGGCTCCAGAGGTGGGTGTGTGCAGAGCAGTACTGCTCACGCTACTTTTCCATGTGCTTGGTTCAGATCACAAGGTGTACATCTGGCACAAGCGCAGCGAGCTGCCCATCGCGGAGCTGACGGGGCACACGCGCACGGTGAACTGCGTGAGCTGGAACCCGCAGATCCCGGCCATGATGGCCAGCGCCTCCGACGACGGCACTGTTAGGATATGGGGACCAGCGCCTTTCGTAGACAACCAGGATATTGAAGGTAAAAGAAATGCACTACTGAAAAATTAGTCACTGTTTTTTGGTTTTTTTTCTAGTGTATGACTGTTGGTTTTTATCTGAGTTACTCATTTGGTAGAATAAAAAAGGCATAACTGTGGTGTCACTAAGACCTTAGGATTATATTAACTTATTTATGCAGACTCCATAAAAACCTTGCTTTCAATGCTTAGGTTTAGTAATGTACAATGTTATTAAAATTTAAACAGTGCATTCTAACCACACTGCAGATTGAGTAATGGTATTGTAATGGTTACAAAAAGAGAATTTCCAAGGTCTAGAGAGAGTGTAAAGAAAATCTGTACAAAATTGAATCTTTACTAACCGTCAGTAACCATATGTGTGCAGGGGAGAGAAAGAGACAATGCTCATTTTTTTGCTGCCAAAATGCACTCAGATGTTCCCATCCCTTCTCGCCTTCCCCGGGATTGTTAAGGAGATGACTGCTGGGGAGTTGTTGTACACTTTATATGCTTCTGTCATTAAGTATTCAACCTTGCAGTAAAAATTTACAGGAGACACTAAAATGATATATAGTATATCCTATTGCCACATGACCTCATGGATGTGGCTTCAAGGGGAGCCTGGACAGAGTAATCAAAGAGAAATCCATGAAGTGCTGGTAGATAAATAAACACCTCTAGTTCAGAATGTCCCTTAGGTAGAAATGCCTGAAAGGTAGAAGGATATTAGGAGGAAAAATTACCTCCTCTCGCTGCTCCAGTGCTTTGATACATCTGCTTCTAGTCTTGGACTAGGTGGACCAGCCTGGCTAATCTGTAGCACCTGGAATGCACCCATAAGGAGTCAGAGCCTGTCCTCCAGCTGGTTTTACTCATGGCTTTGTTGTTTGGTTTTCTCCAGTGAGCTACTTGCTCACTCTTTCTTAGTTCCTCCAGAAAATGAACCAGTAAGTGCCATCAAAACCAACCAACCTCAAATGGATTTCTCACAGCAGTGCTTTCGCAAGAGATGTAGGTGCATGGAATAATACCTAACCACTTAGGAATCCTAAATGGGGTGACAAGACAGCTCTGTAATTAGCACACTCCCCATGAAGTTGTATGTAAATGCGTGTTACATCGTTTTGGACCAGATGCTTTTTGAGTACCCACACCTAACATGCTAAAATAATATCTAGATTGTTATGAATAATTTTATCTAAAATAAGTAATTTTAAGCATGGAATTTAGCTACAATATAAGATCCATTAACTAGTGCATGTTCAGTTAAAATTTATGTAAATACACTGTATTCATTATGATAGAAATATGAACTGTTTCTAAGATCTTCAAGCTGTGATTTCTTTTTCTCTGTTTTTGTTTTTGCTCAGAGGAATGCAGTAGCATGGATAGTTGATGGCGAATTTGGAGCAGACGACTTCAGTTTAACTTAATTAGTCGTATTTTAAATGGCTTGGGATTTGGTGCAAACAAACATGATTGATAGCTGGACAGACATGCTCGTCATGAAAAAGAACCATTTCTGAAGCCCGGTTGGGGCCAAACATTTACCACCTTTGCTTCATAGTAACCAGTTGAGATGAAGCACGTCTTTAGAACTTTGTTGGACACCGTGTTGAAATTACCCCCCCATCGGTTGTGAAGAACTGTGCTACATTCAGGCTAACCATTGAACTCAGTATATATATTTTTCCCTCCTGCCTTTTTGTCTGGCAGGCTACTGTTCTTGTTGCTCTTCTGTGTAATGAAGTTTAAATGCTTGTTTGGAACACTTTATTTAACAGTTTAGAAGGCTTGATAGAAAGAGTGCTTTAGTCTGAAGAGTATACATTGGATAGGAAAGTATTTCCTTCTCTTGTTTCTCAAGTCTCTCTCCGCCTTACTTAGCTTGAGATCTTTGCAGCTTGGTTCATGGATTCTAGCCTTGCCCGTTGCGCAGTATATCTATCAATTGAGAGGATAAACCAATGAACTATGTCAAAAGCACTCTCAGTATCACATTTGACAAAAAGTTTTGTACTTTTCACATAGCTCGTTGCCCTGCAAAGGGGTTAACAGCACAATTTTTTAAAAATAAATTATTTATAGGATTAAAATGACTTCATTTGTATACATTTGGAATTAAAACAATGCAAGAAGTGTTGTGAAACACGGTATCACTGATGCTTTTCTGGAGTGTCCTGAGACCCAATCAAAAGCAGTGGCTGGAAGGAGATTTATGTAGGCAGTAAAGCTTGTTTCAGATGGAGGAATTCCCTGTCCATCTTAACAGATAAACTGTATTAGTTAGAAAAAAAAAAAAGCATTCAGACTGCACCACCAGTCTCAGAGTTGAAACAAGAAGAGGTCTTTTTGGTTTTTTTCATTACATAAATATATGCAACAATGCTGGTGTAAAAAGTAGATTACACTTTGAGGGAAGAATGTGTTGAAAGAGTCCTTTCTTCACAAAGTCAACACTTTGTATAAGTAATTTACGTACAAATCATAATTAAACACTTGTATTATGATGGAAATTTTTTCTTTATTTGATAAACAAGGGTGGACAGATTTTGTTGTTGAGAATATACTTTTAAGTTTGCAGATTTAAATGCCTCTCCCAGACGTTATTGCAAGCTGGTGCCGTGAACATCTTGACACATCTAGGAGTAGTTCCACTAATGTCCCGTGTTAAGAAAAAACAAAGACTTTTATAATTTAAATATTTATTCTTTTTGACATAAACAGATTGCCTGGCATCTCTGTGCTTCTGCACTACACACAAATCCATTATGAGATGGCACTGGATTCCCTTTTGCCACCTTGGGTGGAAAGGTAGTGTTGGTACTGCTGCAAAGTAAAGAAGGAGCAGGGAAGGTCATGCCACCAGGAGTCACTTGAGCAGAAGTGTGGACTTCATCCTTTCATGAGATAATGATTTAGAGTCCTTATTAGTTATGTGTGGAAGAAGGGTGGGGGAAGGTTTGCTGGAGTTCCTGGGAAGAGAGGTATAGCCACTTTGATGAATGGGAGTGTGGTGTTTCCCAGAAAAACAAAGGTTAGCAGGTTAGATTTTTTTCTTCTTTTCGATTCCAGCCATCCGGTGGTGTGTGTTTGTCTTGCCTTGCGTGCAGACTTTAAGCATGAGCTAAGATTCTGGTACTGTGGTTGAGACCAGCCCCGAATCTGACATATGAGTCTTCTAATACCTCCAAAACCAGGTAGGAACTTAATGTTCAGCCTTAAAACTAAGGTGAATTCTTTGATAGCAATTACTGCTTCACAGCACTGAGAATACATGTGTAAACTTAAGATTATACATCCATTCCTTCTTCCTTTAATCACTTCTGGAGGAAGCTTTTTCTTTCCCTTCTTAGTTCAGACAGTGTAAGGTGAGTCAGGTCTGGCCTTAATGTTGCAGGAAAACAGAAAAGTTCCCATGGTCAAATTTGAGTAAGCTAAACCTTGGGGGTTTAGGAAATTAATTCCTAAATTGTAATCAGTAAATTGTAAAAGTGTTTTGCATGTTCAAAACATGGTATAATTCATAAGCAATGCCAGCATGTGAACCTTTGGAAGTTACTCTAGTATCGTTTTACTCTGGAACTTAAGTTTTCAAGCCAAACATTATTTAGGAAGAGTAAGGAAAATAATGGTTTTGATGTCTCATACAATGGTCTGTCACTATGTACTCATGGAAATAAAGTGGGAGCTTTAGGCAGGTGGTGAAGGTTGGATCAAATCTCAAGTGTAGACTTAGTCTCATATGCACTTCAGGCATTTCTAATGTGGAGGCCATGACTAACCAGAGTGAGACTCCTTCCCTGGTACAGCTGGGGCGGTGCGTGGGCTGATGCCTGCTATCCACGGCAGTGCAATTAGGAATTTAAACCTAACATAGGACTGCTGCCAAAATACTGCCCCTCTCTGCTGGACTTGGTTTGTCCCTCTGAAGGACACTTGAGATATTCAGAAGCTGAGTTAGGGAGAAGCAGGTGTGGGATCTCTCTCCCTTAGTGTCCTGGTGCAGCCATGCCATGTAAAGGCAAGCTCCAAGCAGGTGGCACTGCTTCCAATGTCTCAGTGACAGCCTGTTTGCATCTCGTGGGCCATGAGCAGGCAGGACAGAAAGGTGAGATTAATCTTCATTTTGCCACACTACTCAGTCCCACAGCAGCTGCCATTAGAGATGTAGCAATGAGAACCATCCCAACCTGGAGATGAAAGAGCAACCTAAACTATTTCCAACACATTGGATATTCATACTATGTGGATTGAAAAGTACCAATACTTTTTGTGCACAGACAATAAAATGAGACTGGGGTGGGGTGGGGGGGGTGGAAACCCAAATCAGTTTGCTCATTTGTAGCATGTTGATTTCCATGTGCTTAAAAATGTTTATAGGCTGGAGTGTAAGGCTGGAACAAGTACACACCCACAATAAATAACTGTATTTCCAGTCAGCAGGCCCATGGTTTTAGAAAAAAATACTGTGTGTACTCATTTTCTAACTTTCTCTGGTCACCTGTTGGCTTCAAATATTCACAGTAGCCCCAGGTTATTATCAAAGCAGATCTCAAAAAAAAAAAATGCTGAAGCATTTTATTATCTGAATGTTCTTTAGCTGTTCAGGTAAGTAATTTTCAAGGCACAATGGAACACAAAAGGGAAAATGGTAGCTCTGTTCATGTTTTGGAGGGGAGGGAAGTGGGGGGAATGACACCTTTGTTTTTAAATTCCCTCTGTCTTTTCTAAAGTTCTCCAACTTTAAAGTTAACTTCTCTTTATGATTGGAGCAAAGATGCAAGCTAGAAATCTGCCCAGATCTTGCCAGTTACTTCTCAACTTGGCTTCAACCAGGTAATGTTTAATAAAAACTCTTGTCTGCTGTTGGGAGTTGGTGTCTAGTTGTGTATTTTTACACTGCTAAATGATACTCCCACCCAAAATCAGTTGTAAAGGCTTTCTTACCAGGAGGCCAGGACTCACACAATTAGCTGTAGCTCAAGGGGATATGCTGTTAGATCCAAATGGGGAGGGAGGTAGAGAAAAAAGAATTGACATAAGAAGCAGGATTTACTGACCAACAAACAAACTACTGTAACTCAAGGGGGAGGAGGAAAAATGCACTTTCAATAGTTTGTCCATATTTTTAGCTACAAAATACACTTGTATCTATTTCTTTTTGAGACGACTATTACAAGGAACACCCATCCCATAAATGGTCTCCTTTTGCCTTCCTCCTGTCTTTTCCACATTGGCTTGAGTCCATTTTCAGCTGCCATACTTGATTTCTAAAAACTGCTACTTTTAACGATGTCTAGAAAGCAAAATCATTAACTATGACACTTTTTTTAAACAGGGTGGACTTAATTGAAGTGTGCAGTGTTGAAACTACTGCTGCAGTAGCTGCCTCTAGTTGAAATAAACTGTAGCCAAGTTTTCTGTCTATTCATCCAGATAATCTGGATTCAGTAAAACATCTGTGAGAGTGTTCCTCCCATCTGGTATGAGTGTGTGCGTGCATGTGTTCCATGAACAGACAGAGAACCAAATGTTCTAGGTACTTGTCATGTTTTATTGCATACTTTTAAGTAGTGTGTATGTGAAGTGTCCTTTGACCAGAAGGTTTTGGTTAATATCAGTATATTTTTATAAATTTGAAATTCATTGTGCCCCATCTTTTTTCATAAACATTTTTCATTCTTAGGGTATATGTACTAGATTTGAAACTTAACATTTTTAGGCACAGATGGAAAAAGTTATTGGCTCCTTGAAAACATATGGGACAAAATGGATCCTCAAAGCATGTATGTACTTACAAACCAAGCTGTAGAGATCACGAAAAGAACTTTATTGTTGATCTCAAGATTTCTAAATTGTCAAGATTTATATGGAGTTGTGGTGGAACTAGTTAACACTTAGAGCTTTTGGTATGTAATGACTATTTGCTATGGACTGATATTAAATGTTTCAAAGGATTGCGTTCTTAAACTTTCTGGATTTTTGTTACTCTCCTTAGATATTATTAAGTAGTTAAAAATTTCTTTGCTATATTACATTAAAAACATAAGAACTTTGGGTCTCGTATTTATTTTCACTTGTTTTACTAATTATTTACAGAACACCGTTTTAACTTTTTTATTTTATAAATGTGTAGTATTTTAAACATATCTTTAAAAATTGTTCAATTGGAACTACATTAACTTCTGATTTGTTTTTATTAGGATTTTTAAAAAAAAAAAATACACTTTTTCCATGTTGGTGCACAGCACTTAAGAGAAATGTTTGTATTCCCTTTCTTTCAATTCAATAAACAATAAATAACTGGAATGAATAGTTCTTAGTTTCCCTAACTTCACTTACATGACTGACTTGGATGTTAATTTCTTGATCATTAATTATAGATTTCTTCAATAGTATTTCACGTCCTAGCTAGGAAAATTAATTTGTGGCAGCGCAGCTGCAGCAGAGCCACTCAGTGCTGTGATCAGGCTCTCCAGGCTCTGCTGTCTGGCTCTAATCCACCTCACCCTCTTGTTTGTGCTGTACTTCAGCGCTCGACTTGCCGTGTCCCAGGCTCTGCTTATCTCACTTGCTCAACATCTGCTCCCTTGAGGCTCTGTGAAATCAATCATTCCTTAATGCTGCAGCTTGCTTAAATACCAGACTCTGGTTGCTGTAGGTGATCTGTGAGTTTTATGGGGTTTTTTGATACTTTGTAGTAAGAAGGTGCTCCTAAAGTACTTGGATCTCCTGCCTTCATGCTCCCTCTAACTTGACCCCACGTTCTTACCCCTCCTCTCTGTGCCTTAAACCAGACCCTCATCTTTGTCCTGTATTTTTATTCAGCTTTATATATTTTTATAGCTTATGTTGTGTTAAAAAGTTGTACCTGAATTTCCACTCCCTGTAGCTTTTCCAAACTCAAACCTTTTGCTGATGTGCATTCAATTTTTGAACTCTTTTAACTTACATATTGATTAGAAGAAGTCTTCACTCCCTCTGGCAGCACCTTTGCATGAACTTTGGTCTCTCCCTTACAGTTTAGGCAGTATATAGATAATTATGGCTTAAATGCAGCTGCCAAGAGAAAGGATGTGCTGTACTCCTCTGCGTGTCCTCCTTTGTGTTACTTCCCTTGGTTGCTGGTATTTGCAGGAGGGTTCTTGGGTTGCAGACCCATTTCAGCCATAAATTACTCACACAGCAGATGAAGGAGAAGCCCAGCCAAAAAAGCTGTGCTTCATCTGCCCTCCTGTCTGCCTTTAATGGGTCAGCAGAGTGCAAGAGAAACAGGTTATCTGTATTCTGTGGGCCTGGGACTTTTCAGCATTTGTAAGATTTAAGTCCTGTGGGTTTGGGTTGTTTATTTTCCTAATGTGTTTTTTGGGTTTTTGTTTGTTTTTTAAAATCATTCTGATTATTTAAAAGAAATTCCATAAGGCACCTGAGAGTAGGTATGCATTTCTTAATTAGCTTAAATCCAGTCTCTGCCTGAGGAGAGCCCTTCCTTACACCTTGTCCTGTGCTCTCTGTGCTGCCCAGTCACCACCCTGTGTGTCTTGCATGTGCCAAGGCTGTCACCTCATCCCAGAAGGATAGCAGTGCCAGTTGTGTCCTCATTTTTAAAGATCTGTAAAGCTCTGAAGGGTAACCACTGAGGCTTGTATGCCTCTGTTTCTGCCAAAGCTGAGGTGGTGGCTGTACTGATAACTGCATGGTGGTTCGTAATATATAGACCACATTTTCCTACTGCTACTTCCACTGTCCATCATACCCTATACTTAAAGGCATAAATGGTCTTTTGGCACTTGTATGAAAATACTAGAGAGCTCCTTGTGAGAAGAAAGAATTAGAATAAAGCTCTAACACTCCTGAACAGATAAAGATTTGCCTTTTTGGGCTTATCAGGGTTTCTGGTTGATTGTTAACCTGCATGTAAAATTGTTCATAAGACTACTGGTCAGATCACCAATTTACCATGTTCCATAATACAAAACTACGTTAGAAAACCAAGCCAGTCATTTACTAGATTGGGGAAGCAAGTATATTCTTTAAAAAACAGGCTCAATAACCAACATTCTGTAACTAAAGATTAATTAGAGGGAAAAATGCAGTTCTACACACTTTTACTAACCCCCAAATTCTTAACTGTTGTGTAATCTCTGAAAACTGATGCAGGGATGATCATGCTTGCAAGCTGGCCAGGCTGTAGATTGTGGGTGAGGAAAAGGGCTCAGTAACATCAGTTAAATTGGAATCCATGTGGGATTTTGATTTATTTTTACTGATTAGGAGTTTTCAGTCAATCATAGCTAATGGCTCCTCACAAAGTTATATCACAAAGATACCTCAAGTCCAAAGGGAAATAGTCTGAGTGACTAAGAAGGAATCTGTATTTGACCTCACAGCAACTTATAGTGATAGTGAAATTATTTTTTTTAAAAATCAGTCACAGGTTTCTAATTCTCCTGAATTCTGTGTGATAAGCTTGGGTTTAAATTACCCTGTTCTCTGTGGGAAAATAGAGGGGTTTTTTTATTTTTACCATCATTAACGTTTCTGTGCTCTGTGGGTCTCCCAGGAGTGACATAACTGCAGCACCCCTATTTCTAGCTAATTAATCATGTTTTTAGCTGTTACACATCCTGTTTTTTTTCTGTAGCTGACAATGACCTCTGAAGATCTCTGTTGAAGCAGGCACTAACCTCATACAGTAAAGAAGGCTTCAACATTACCAGTGTAATTATTCAGCAGAATTGTAGTCTCTGAAATCTGCTGGTGAGGTTTTTGCAATTCTTATTATCTGTTGTTGGATATAAATGAACAGGGAACTTATTCATGTTTTTAGAATAGGATATCAAGCTGCTAGTTTAAGTACTGGTCTTAAAATTAAATGAGGTTAATGCTCATGTTTCTCAGTGTGAAACAAGTTTAGTGAAATGTATTGACTGTCAGCAGTACCTTAAGGACCTAACTTGGGCCTTTTCTTCTAATGCCAAAAATATTTGTAGTAGGTTTTTTTTTCCATATACAAATAAGATCATTTAATTGCCTACCATAATCTGCTAAAAAAGTTGCTGACTTTCTACTCTTGAAGTTTCATTTGCTTTCCTTTCTCCAGACCTACCTTCTCCCTGGGTTTTGGCTTTATAGGACAGTGCTTTTTATAGTTTGATGTTCTGCTGTCAGGTAGTCAGTGCCATCCAGCTGGGGTAGCTGTTTCCTTAGTTATTTTTTTAATGAAAACAATTTTCAGCAGTTTTTCATCTTTAACACAGCTGAACTCAGACACCATGCATCAAAACTTTAAAGCCAGACTTCTCCTAGAGCAAACACTGAACACAAAGTATCTACAGCAAAAAAGCATCAGTGTTGCATTTTCATGGTTAGCCCTGAAAACAATTGTTAACTCCACCTGTACACTAAAAGCCAAATACTTAAGAAGAAAAAGTTCATAAATTTTTGGATGTAATTACAGAAGT